CCTTCTTCCTCCCTCACTCCCCTCGATGGCGGTGCGGCTAAGGGGTACGTGGAGCTCCCCCCAGTGGAGCGGTCTGTGGCGATGCAACTGTGTCCCAAGACCGCTACCTCTTGGTGGGGTAATCCGCGTCTCCCCTCCCGAGCGTGTAAGTTCTCGTCCTCTCTGGTGGGCAAGGCTTACACAGCTTGTGGAGAAGACGCTTCCGCCCTGCATGCCATGGCGCTCCTGCAGGTCTACCAGGCCAAAGCGCTCAAGGAGCTGCACGAGGGTAGTTCTGACCCAGGGGTTATGCAGGAACTGCGTGCAGCGACGGACCGCACCCTACGGGCGACGAAAGTCACTGCACGCTCCCTGGGTCGGGCGATGTCCACCTTAGTGGTCCAGGAGTGCCACCTGTGGCTGAACCTGGCAGATATGCGTAAGCCTGACAAAGTTTGGTTCCTCAACACCCCTGTCTGTCAGGCCGGCCTCTTCGGTGACGCTGTTGAAAACTTTGCCCAGCAGTTTTCAGCGATACAGAAGCAGACGGAGGCGATTAAGCACATCCTGCCCCGACGACCAGCTGCTGCCTCCACCCAGTCGTCGGCTGCAGCGCCTTTATCTGCTCGGTGCCGAGGGCGCCCCCCGGCGGCCACCTCCACCCCTGCTCAGCCTAAGCAGCAGCCTCCACCTAGACGGCAGGCGGCTGGCCGCAAGGGGAACGCCCAGCTCGTCCAGGCCCCCACCAAACCAGGCAGTAAGCGTAAGGGCAAGCGGCCCTGAGACGGGCGACCCAGAGATGGGAGGATCTGCTCTCCGGGAGTATCCTTTATTTCCTTTTGTTTTTGTTCCTCCGCTGGCTCCTCGGAGTCCAGCGGTACCCACATTTTCAAAAAAAGAGTAAATTCCTCTATCTCTGGGTCACAAGAGGGCGCAAACACCTTGCCACTCCCTTCCCCCTCTCTCTTCACCAGCCGGCAGCAGTGTGTGGGTCGGGGACTCCACCAGGCCTTCTCTCACACCCTCTGCCCCACCCTAGAACCCCTAGAACCTGGCGCAGCACATGCAGACTCCACTTCGGGCCGCCTCAGTGCCTCCCGAGTCGAGTGCCTCGAGTGCCTGTCGCTGCCCCACCCCGGGTACGTCTGTGGTTCCGTTTGTCCCGCTTGCACAGTGTCTGGGAGCCTGGCTAGCACTCCCCAACCTGTCTTGCTGGCTCGTCCGTACCATCAGACTCGGCTATGCGATTCAGTTTGCCCGACGTCCCCCCAAGTTCAGGGGCATCCACTTCACCTCTGTGTGGAGCAGCGATGCCCCTGTCTTACGGACGGAGATCAACATCCTACTGGCGAAGGACGCGATCGAGCCGGTCCCTCCAGCCGATATGAAGGCAGGGTTTTACAGCCCCTACTTCATTGTGCCCAAGAAAGGTGGTGGGTTACGGCCAATCTTGGACCTGCGAACCTTGAACAAGCCCTGCACAAGCTCTCATTCAAGATGTTAAAGCAAAAACGCATTTTCGAGTGCATCCGTCCCCGAGATTGGTTTGCAGCGATCGACCTGAAGGACGCATACTTTCATGTCTCGATTCTCCCTCGACACAGGCCGTTCCCACGGTTTGCGTTCGAGGGTCGGGCTTATCAGTACAAGGTCCTACCCTTTGGGCTGTCCCTGTCGCCTC